TAATTCAGATACCCAAATAAAGTTGAGTGGTTTGAATTTCAACTATTTTTATCTTTTATCCTGTCCATTTCTGAAAATGCAAATATGCAGAGAAAAATGGACCAAAGAATGAGGCAAGAGTCTGTGGTAGAATGAAGAGAAACACTCTGGGTATATACAAACTCAATATTGTGAAAATTTCATTATTAGACAAATGAGCCCTCAAAATTCAACTAGGTTAAAATATGGGGCTGTGTCATTACTGTCAATGAAAGACAGCAATTTTTAATGAGTCTTCCAGTTATGGTAGGGTAGGAGTGAGAAATACCACTTTCATTTCTTTGCTTTCATGTATTAGACTGATCACTGAGCTGAGGGTCTCAAATAATGATGAGGCTGTCACTCCACAGGCTGCCCATCCCCACCCCAACACTAAGAAACAGCTGGCCTGAGGACAGAAGCCAGTTCCTTATGCCCACATGCATATTACTGCAGGTTTACTGTGGTCATCAATGACCTGTAACAACCGGTGTGACCCCAGGACACTGAACCCTTATCACCACATGGATCCCTTTGCTGCAGTCACCCACGCAAACTTTGGAGTCACCTCGTCTTTGCACACAGTTGTGTCCCAGGCACCCCTTTCAACCACCCGCCCTCAGTGACCAGGTACAAAGGGCTGGACATAAGCCAGGGAGTAGCAGTGACTATTCTTCTAGATTCTTTCTGGAGATCTGCAAGAAGTTCCCGTACTGTTAAGCCCCATGTGGTTTTTTATTTGCCAATCTAGTATTAACAGAGTTATTACTGGCCGTTACTGTGAAAGAAGAAATGGAAGCAATCCCTTTGGAGTGTAGCAAAAACTAGAGAGGAAAATAAGAATTCATTAAGCCTAGGATCCAGACTCTTCCCAAAGTTATCTGATTGGGCCACTACTTTGCATTACCTTTGCTAATGAATCATCCTCTTAAACAATTAATCGACTTTATTTTTCCTTTTGCCTGGGCCTGTCTCCTTCTCAGAGTCAGAGATGAATAGAACAAAGCCAAACTGCTCCAAATGACTTTAAAACCAATTGTTTAAAAAAGAAATTATGGACCAGGCGTGGTGGCTCACGCCTGTATTCCTAGCACTCTGGGAGGCTGAGGAGGAAGGATCGCTCGAGGCCAGGAGTTCAAGACCAGCCTGAGCAAGAGCGAGACCCTGTCTCTACTAAATATAGAAAAAAACTAGCTGGGAGTGGTGGTGCCCGCCTGTAGTCTCAGCTACTTGGGAGGCTGAGGCAGGAGGATCACTTGAGCCCAGGAGTTGGAGGTTGCTGTGAGATAGGCTGATGTCACTGTACTCTAGCCCCAGTGACAGAGCGAGGCTTGAGCCCAGGAGTTTGAGGTTGCTGTGAGCTAGGCTGACACCATGGCACTCTAGCCAGGGCAACAGAGCCAGACTCTGTCTCCAAAAAGAAAAGACAGTGTGAGAAAATTATTTGAAATCTAGAATTCCATACCCAGCTGACTCCCAATGAAGCATGAGGGTGGGATAAAGACACGTTCAGATATACAAGATCTCAACACTTTTACCCCCCAATGCATTCTTTCTCATGAAACCACTAAGGGATGATAAGCTCTCCTAAACGAAGGCCACTTTAAGAAAGGAGAGACACAGGATTCAGGACACATTCAATAGAGGAGAGAAGAAAATGATGAGGACCACCAGCTGCCCAAGGGATGAGAGCTATCAAACAGACTTGAGGAATAAATAACGCAACTGGAAAGTGTGGATCAGAAAGATGTGGCCTAAGAAACTAAAAAGCAATATGAAAACATGAATTAGTGATCCTAGAGAAACAAAATGTTTTAAAAGAAAGGAAACATTAATTACAGTATACTTCATGAGTAGTACAGATTTCAAAAAATGAAAAATGATAAAAAGGTCAATAAATAATATAAATAGCAGTAAAAGCTTAAAAAAACAGAAGAAACTGGCAAGGGAAGCAACTTTTGCCTGTTGACAGTGAATGCCTCTTGGAAACGGAATCAGGCTGGAGAAGAGGGAGGGCAGGGACCTTTGTTTTTTTAAAAAGCTTTACACATGGGTATGACTTTGTAATCCATGGACATGTATTATTGATGAAAGTTAACAGTTAAACAAATCTTCCAAATTGCCTACTTCATTTTCTGTCCATCTTTTGGGACTAGAGACTTCTAATTTGGAGGAATAATCATATGATACATAAGAATAAAAAGAAGAAATGGAATCAAAATGAAGTAATAAAAATCCCAAGCTGGTAAGATTTCTCCTACTCACCATCTCTCTGGCTATTTCCAGCGCTTCCTGCAGGCCATAGAGCCTGCCACAAACCAGGTAGATTCCATTGGCCCAGAGAATACATCCCTCATGGACCCAAAATTCATTGCTGTCAAGAGGTAGTTCAGGGATTTGTAACTCCAGCTCGGGGCCACCTTCTGAAGTGGTTGGCACGGAGGGCTTTGAGTCCAAAGCAGTCTTTTCGCTGCTGCCCTCAGTGGCTGCTTTTTTACAAGGGAGCCCCCTGGACAGGGACCGAGGGCCTCCACCACAGTCTTCAGAGCGGTGGCGCCGCTTAAACCTGGGGTGTGCGGCCAGGCTCCTCTGCTCCTTCTGCTGCTGCTCCTCTTCCTCCTCAGTGTCCGTCTTGGAGCCGTTAGAAGCACTTTTGTGCCGTACCTTCACTTTGCTCTGCATTTCTGAGGCTCTCTTAGGAGGTGGATTCTTCGGGAGAGTGGCTGCATAATCCTGGGGATAAAAGGGTCCAAAGAGGTCACCCATGTTGCGGTAACTGGCCCACTTGCCACACAGACAGCAAACCAGGTGCCCCATAACAGAAGACTCTGTCACAACAGGTCCCTGCAGCATGAAGGATGAAGCTGGGAGTGCCTTGCTTTCAGTGCTGCTGGGTGGAGGGGTCAGTGACCTCTGACCCTTCCGACCCCTCACTAATTTGGTCTGTTCTTCTTCTTCAGCATTGATGATTGTACAAACGGCTCCAAGTTCACACTTGTTTACTACATGGATATAAGGGAAAAAAGACTTGTTCTTGGCATCAGTTTTATCCAGTGGCTGGGTGGCATACTTGAGTTTGATCTCAGGTTCTTGGGGTTCTACAATGGGAACTGCTTGTTTGGTTTTTCGCTTCCTTGGCTGGGCCCCAGGCTTCCTTCTCTCCCTCCTTTGCCTCTGTTTTTTTGGCTTTGGCTCTCCATCTGCAGAACCTTCTGGTATCTGAGGGGGCTGAGGGGGCGGAGGCGGTGGCTGCTGTTGTTTCTTTTGCTTATTCACACTACCAATGGGTCTACCCTTCTTCTTTCCTGATGGGAAATATCCTTTTGGGGGGAAACCCTCTTGTTTGGGCGAAATTGTAACCGTATCGTTCTCTTTCTCTTCAGCCTTGGGATTTGCCTCAGGGGCCAATATGCCCACTGGAGGTACATTCTTTGAGTCAGGAAAGATTAAAGGTGCTGTTCCACCCAGGGAACCATCTGGTCTCCCTTGGTTACTACCAGGCTTTTGTGAGGTTGCAGATGTCATGACACCAGGGGGTTCCTTTCCGGTTGTAACTGTTTCTGGATGTGTCTCTGTCTTCACTTTGTCGTCCCCACCACTACGCCACTCTTCTGAAGACCTAGGAAGAGGTTTCTCAACGTTCAACTCCTGGTTTGTTGTACCTACTAGGTCAGATACTACCTCACCTTTTCTCTTCTCCATGTCGGCATCCTGAACAGCAAGGCTCCCACTTTCCGGCGGACCACTTTTCAAAGACAAGATGTCATCAAGCGTAACTGTGTCTCCCCCAGCCTCTGCACTGTTCGAAGACGTACTCCTCCTAATATTTGGGGACGTGATCTTCTGAACTATAGCTTCCAATTTCAATCCCCGTCCTTTCCGTGGGGGCAGTATTTTGGTTTTAGCAGGGCTTGTGAGGGTAACAGCAGGGCAGTTTCTATTATCTGGACTTGGAAGGTCCTTGGAGGAATCTCTCTTAGGGACAGACTTGATGTCCTGACTGTGAGAAAGATGGGCATAGGAATTGAATGCTTTATCAGTGACTTCTTTTGATGGGTGAAGGAGGCGCCCCCTATCTTCAGTGTTGCTGTTCTTTACATCTTGTGACTGTCTCTTACTGGGAATGGGAGAGATAAAAGAACGGACACGCCTCCTCATGATTAAGGGGTTTTGAGAGGAATGATCCTCTTGACCTGGAAGCCTTAGCATAACATTACTGGGTTTGGATGACTGTGTAGACTCAGCTAGTCCATGTCCATCAGTCTCATGGGGTGGCCCATACCTTTTTTGACTGGACATTCCTGGAGGACCACTGCTTTTGGCTGGAGAAGTTTGGCGAGAAAGATCCCAACAAGATTCTTGTAACTTCTGGGAGCCATGCTTTAATTCCATGCCTTTGTTAGGCAGACCATCACTGGACATGAGGCAGCGCCCAGCCTCCTGAGCACTGGGGTCATGGTAAGTCCCTACTGGTGGGCCGTACATCATACCATCTTTGTCATTTTTAAGAGGGCTCCGTACTCTGTCAAGAAACTGCTGCTGCCGTGGGCTCTTCCGTGGCCCCTCCTGCCTGTGCTGTGCTGCAGCAATTACTCCCTGAGCAGAAGTGCTGCTCCACTCTTTATATTCCTCTTGCTGCTGTTGGTACATCTGTCTCTTATAATGGAGCTGAGAATTCAAACCTGCATTAGGATCCCCATAAGCATGAGCCCGAGTGTTCGTGTGATAGGCAGAGGCCAGGCTTTCTGAGTTGGGAGAAAAGGGAGCATGCAAGGAACTCCTGTTGGCCCTCTCTGAAAAGGTCATGTGTGGATTCATGTGATGAGGGTCTCCCCCAAGGCCTCTGCTCCTCCCAGGAGACATCTTCAATTTTTCTGCAAAGTCATGATACTGAGAAGGGGACCGACCCCTCATGCCCTCCCGACCACCAACTCTGCCAGCGACCCGCCGCATTGGTGTGGGTCTGCTGTCTTGTGGGCCGTAGTCTGAAAGGGAATCATGGGCTGCTGCTCCAGGGCTGGCATTGCCACGGTAAGACTCATGCTTGATGCTAGCAGGATGGCAGTGGTCTCCAGATTTCTTGTTGTTGAAACTAGCCTGGGATTTGGATTGTTCAAAGTCTTCTTCTTTTATCTGCCCGCTCTGGCATTTCAGCTTTGTTTCCATGGACACCAAACCACCTGGAAGAATGACTGACTGACTTAAACTTGGATTGAGGCGCTCATTCCTCCCAATTCTGGTGTCGGCACCTATGTGTCCCAGTGAGTGAGCCCCCGGGTCTCTGACAATCTGTCTTAGTGGAGAAATATCACAGATCACTGATCTTCGTTCAGAGAGGGAACCCCCAGGCTCATGGGCTGATGACTGAGGCTCTATTTCAAACTTTCTGGGAATTGGATAGTCAGCCAAATTGATCTGTTTCATTTCAGGAGCCGTACTGCTTGATTTCCTTTCCCAGGGGCCCCAGTGTGGGTTTTCTAATAGAGACCCAATGCTTTTGTTCAGAAGGCCCCTGTTAGCTAATTCATTGGTCTGACTCACTAAGACATTGGGCCTTGCGGTTCCTTCTAGGCCACTAGCCATCCCCTGATGCTCCTGAGCACTCCTAGAATATCTCCGGTCAGGGTGGTGGTGGTAGCCCTGAAGCACTTCCTGAAGGAGGCTCGGGAACTTCTCATTTCTACCCTTTCGTTCTCCATGGCCAGTGAAATCCCCCTTTTCTTGCCCTGTAGGATACTGAGGAAAGCCACTGACATTTCGTGGCACAGCTGACCCAAAACTGTCTTTGTAACTATAGCGTAGGCTTCCAGGAGATTTGCTAGGCTCAGTTCTTCCTGTAAAACCAGGGCCCACAGTGGAGTGGCCACTCTGGCCATTTCCCTCTCCATTATGGTTGGAGTTGTTATCTCCATTCTTGTTTCCTTTGCTCCCTCCTCCTGGAGGCTCTGGATGTGGAAGTGAGGCGTGGCTGCTTTCCTTTGCCCCACTGTCGCTAGGTGGCCTTTGAGTGGCTGCAGGATCATCCTCTTGGGAGCCTTTATCTTGTCCACCCGGCTTTTCTACCCGACTTGTCATGGCTTCCCGGGAGACAATCACCCCAACTGTTTTCTCATTGACTTTTGGGTTCCCCTCAGATGATGATGGTGTGTCCTTAGCACCTGGCGAGGTAGCCTCTTCTCTTGCTGCGGGACTGGCACTGAGTCTGGGGGGTTCATTCTGAGCACCTGGTGCTGGAGAGGAGCCAGCTTTCTCTGAGGCTCCACCCTTATAAGTGGTGTCAGAGCTAGTGCTCTGGCCACTCAACTGCCGCACTCTCTCGCCTTGGTCTTCTGAACTGCTGGAGCAGCCTCCATCCAGTGACTCTGCCATAGGGGACTTCAGTTGTTCTTCAGGCTGTGAGGAACCTTCAGAGTTTGTGCAGCTATCTGCTTTCTTAGAAGATGAGGGCCTCTTGGAGGTCTTCTTCTGAGGTGTCAGGGCATCAGAAAGTAACATGTGCTGGACAGTATTAGGAAGATTGGCCACTTGAGTGCTCAGGGCACTCAAACTACTCAAACCAGGATCTGTCAATCGCTTTTCCGGCACCCCTTCTAGTCCAAACCCTTTGAAGCCTGCAGCATGAGAATTAGGACTGGGTAGCATTGATGGAGTTGGACTGAGTTGAGGCATTAACTGCAAAATTCTGTTTCTGGAACCCATGGGCACACTGCCTTGCCCACACTGGAGATTCTCCCCACTCTGCATTAGAGGAGATGGGGTAGAGCTACAGCTTGGAGACTGTACCACAGAGGCAGCTGGAGAAGGGTTAGAAATAGGGCTGAAGTTCTGGTGAAACTGCATGGGGGACCTCACAGGAACTTCGGGCTGGCTGTACTGCCCCACCTGGCTTTGCAGGGGCAGCTTGGTGGCTGCATTGGTATACTGCATCACATGCTGAGAGGGATGTTGTTGTTGTTGTTGCTGTTGCTGCTGCTGCTGTTGCTGCTGCTGCTGTTGCTGTTGCTGCTGCTGCTGCTGCTGCTGCCCCTGCTGGGTCCCTTGTGGAATCTTTGCCTGTTCAAAATTCTTCATAGATTGAGGCTGATAGCTATAATTTGATTGTGTGCCATAAGCCTGTGCGTTAGAACCCACATTATGTCCTTCATACTGGGATCCGGTATTCACACTGTAACTGCCATCATAGCTCTGTCCAGACTGGCTAAAACGTTGTGGTGAAGGAAAGGAGGAGGAGGAGGAGGAGGAGGCAGAAGACTGGTAGTGTTGGCCAAACTGACCCACTCTTAACTGGTAACCAGTGGCAGAGGATGGCAGAGTTGAAGGCCGTTGCATTGGCTGGAGATGGGACGAGCCAGACGCTGGCTGGCCAGTAGCTTGTGGCAGAGGCTGATGGGATTGGTAAAGCTGTTGTCTCAACTGCTGTACTTGCTGCTGCTGCTGTTGGCTGGAAGCCTGCTGTTGGTACTGAGCACTCCCTGGAGAGAAAGGCCCTGTGTAATCCTGCTGATAATGAGAAACACCACCAAGAGCAGAGTGCTGTGCTTGAAACTGGCCCACATGACCCTCACTCCCATATTGATTGCCAAAGCTGCTGCCCTGGGGGGGTCCATAGCTCTGCACAGGCCCAGAAGGCCTTCGCTGAGGAGGTTGTGGGGTTCCTGTAGCCACAGGGTCTTTGTTGCCTGCCATGTAGTAAAAATCTCCAGCCTCTTTTCTGAAACCCTGGTAACCTTGGTGGCCAGAGGTTTCACTAGCCATCGCTGCAGCAGCAGCTGCTGCTCCTCGTCGTCCACCACCACTGCCACTGCCACTGCCACCACTACTGCCACCTGCACCCCCAAAATTCTGGAACATCTGGGCCTGACGAGGGCTGAACTCTTCTATCCGGGATGAGCTGTGTACCTCCTGTGGGTAGCTCTGCTGGTTTCCGTGGTAACTGCTTTGCTCCCGAAAGGACTGCATACTGTTCAGCAGCACAGCAGCAGGCCAACAGCCCTCCTAGAAATAGAAGAAAAGAAAGAAAAACATTAGACGTGCACCTTGGCATAAATAAAATCAAGTCTACATGAGAGGGATAGTCTAGAAGGGATAAGATAATTCAGATACCCAAATAAAGTTGAGTGGTTTGAATTTCAACTATTTTTATCTTTTATCCTGTCCATTTCTGAAAATGCAAATATGCAGAGAAAAATGGACCAAAGAATGAGGCAAGAGTCTGTGGTAGAATGAAGAGAAACACTCTGGGTATATACAAACTCAATATTGTGAAAATTTCATTATTAGACAAATGAGCCCTCAAAATTCAACTAGGTTAAAATATGGGGCTGTGTCATTACTGTCAATGAAAGACAGCAATTTTTAATGAGTCTTCCAGTTATGGTAGGGTAGGAGTGAGAAATACCACTTTCATTTCTTTGCTTTCATGTATTAGACTGATCACTGAGCTGAGGGTCTCAAATAATGATGAGGCTGTCACTCCACAGGCTGCCCATCCCCACCCCAACACTAAGAAACAGCTGGCCTGAGGACAGAAGCCAGTTCCTTATGCCCACATGCATATTACTGCAGGTTTACTGTGGTCATCAATGACCTGTAACAACCGGTGTGACCCCAGGACACTGAACCCTTATCACCACATGGATCCCTTTGCTGCAGTCACCCACGCAAACTTTGGAGTCACCTCGTCTTTGCACACAGTTGTGTCCCAGGCACCCCTTTCAACCACCCGCCCTCAGTGACCAGGTACAAAGGGCTGGACATAAGCCAGGGAGTAGCAGTGACTATTCTTCTAGATTCTTTCTGGAGATCTGCAAGAAGTTCCCGTACTGTTAAGCCCCATGTGGTTTTTTATTTGCCAATCTAGTATTAACAGAGTTATTACTGGCCGTTACTGTGAAAGAAGAAATGGAAGCAATCCCTTTGGAGTGTAGCAAAAACTAGAGAGGAAAATAAGAATTCATTAAGCCTAGGATCCAGACTCTTCCCAAAGTTATCTGATTGGGCCACTACTTTGCATTACCTTTGCTAATGAATCATCCTCTTAAACAATTAATCGACTTTATTTTTCCTTTTGCCTGGGCCTGTCTCCTTCTCAGAGTCAGAGATGAATAGAACAAAGCCAAACTGCTCCAAATGACTTTAAAACCAATTGTTTAAAAAAGAAATTATGGACCAGGCGTGGTGGCTCACGCCTGTATTCCTAGCACTCTGGGAGGCTGAGGAGGAAGGATCGCTCGAGGCCAGGAGTTCAAGACCAGCCTGAGCAAGAGCGAGACCCTGTCTCTACTAAATATAGAAAAAAACTAGCTGGGAGTGGTGGTGCCCGCCTGTAGTCTCAGCTACTTGGGAGGCTGAGGCAGGAGGATCACTTGAGCCCAGGAGTTGGAGGTTGCTGTGAGATAGGCTGATGTCACTGTACTCTAGCCCCAGTGACAGAGCGAGCGAGACTCTGTCTCAAAAAAATAAAAAATTAAAAAAAAATAAAAAGGAAGTTATGAAACACGTACGAGATAGGGTTAGACACTAACAGATAGTTTTCCTACAATGGTTTATGAAGCTGGTTTCTTAGTTCCTCTCAGGGGGAGCTGAAAATGGAGTTGTCTACAGGAAAGTTAGTGATCTTTTTAAACAGCAAATTGGATTCATGATCTCCAAGCCCAAAGTGCTCCCATCTCACTCCTTGGGAAGCTAGTCTCAGAGGCCCTGCCCCCACCCCATGACCTCTCTGACCTCCTCCCCTACCATCCTCTGCTCTAGCCCCACTGCCTCCTTGCTCCTGGAACAGGCCAACCATATTTCTACATAGGAACTCTGCTCTCACCTGCCCTGTTTTTCCCCCATAGCCACACAGCTTTCCCCTCTCACCTTTTCCCAGTCTCTGGGCAAATGTCACCGATTCCCTGACCATCCTACTAAAACCAGCTAATTCTACACCTCCACCCTGGCTCTATCTCCCTCCCCTGTTTATCCACCCCACCCCCAATACATGCTACTTATTTACTATCTCTCCCCCCTTGAATGTAAACTCTTCAAAGAGCAGGCACTGCCTATTCTTTGCTGTAATCCTCATGTCATTGAAACAGTATGGAACACACAGCAGGCATTCTGTGTGAATGATTAAATGGTATAAGAATTAAGCCTTAGAGAACTAGGCTAGAACTCACATATTCAGAGACTGTGGTGGTAAGATCAGAGAATTGCAAGAAGAGAAAACAGAATATGATTGAGCTAAAAGCAGAGCTGGAGGATGCTGAAGATCTTGCCTGTAAAATCCTCAGGGTCTAGTTCTAAGGGAAAAGACCCAGCTTGGGTCCACATGAGAACTGTGACTTCAGAAAGTAAACATGGATCACAGTAGAAGATGGTAATCTCAAACTCTGAAAGCTTGACCCACTTCTTCTTGAGATATCTTAAGTCTAAAACAGCTAAACAAGAGTCTACTTCTTTGATATTAAATCTGATTATACAGTCACATGACCCAAAGCCATCTTAAATATTCACATATAAATAATGTGAAAATCTAAAGGAAATCGCTTCTACTCCTATTCAAAACGCCTCTGCAACAGACTATTATTTCTGTGTTCCAATGACTCTGTTGGGCAACAGGTAATAGCTATTTAAATATTACAATGCATGACACTATTCTAGCGCTTGACATGCACTAACTCATTTAATCTTCACAACACTAACATCCTCATTTTACAGATGAGGAAATGGAAGCAGAGTTCACAATGCTCCTAAGCAGCGGGGACAAGGGCCCAGCATGGCCACCCCAACGGGCCATGTTCTTAACGTTAGACTGCTCAGAGGATCTTCCACATAGTTAGTACAGATGCCACTTGTCCCACGAAAGGTGGGCCTTGAAAGTGTGTGGCTACCAATAATACTTTTAGGTAAATCCCTTCTCTGTTGCCCTCTCACAAGAACCTCCATGCTGTTCCGGCTGGTTCTTCATCATTTCTAGGACTCTGAAGAACAATTCTGTCCATGCATGTATTTTTCCTGTTTGTGATGTGCTTCTACTCTAGTTCTTGGTGTCAATGGCCTTCTCCAGATGATAAAACAAGCTGAATGGGGGCTAAATTAAACAAAAAACACTAAATCTGGCAGTTTAAACTAATGAAAAGCTTCCTCAAGAGATGCTCTCTCTATAAATAAATACTTTACATGTTGTTTAATTAATCCTTCTGGAAATAAAATCAGGCTTCTGAGTGTATAAACAATGCTGCTGCTTGTACCATATTTTTCCTAAATAGGAGCCACCAAGAGCTAAAGACCACTTTAAACATCAGCACATCCGGCCTCAGGCTGCCTGCCTACTGAGAGTACCCTATCTCCAAACAGGGAAACAGATATGGGAACATTTCCTTCTCAGGTCTGTTCTCAGCCCTTTCCTGTAGATTCCTTGTCCTGTATGATGCCCTTCTCCCTATTGTTATATTTTATGGACTAGAAGGAAAAAAAATCCACAGCCAAATATCTGCTACAGGGTACCAGTCAAGTTAATATTTTTAGTATATTGAAGTATTTGAGTACCAAGTGGTTGCAAGTTTCTTTTTTAGGAGCTCTGAGCAAACCAATTAGGAAAATCAAGTATTAATAGTATATTATCAGCAAGAGAAAATGTAAACCTGGACTTCGTAACTTTACCATTAGCATATAAAATAAGCTAACAATAGAAATCATTCCAGTACTATCCTACTGTTTTAGAAAAAGCATCAGTATAATCAGTTATAATTTAAAAAAATTTTTTTTATTTTTTATTTTGTAGAGATGGGACTCACTACATTGCCTAGGCTGCTCTTGAACTTCTGGCCTCAAGTGATCCTCCTGCCTAGGCCTCCCAAAGTGATGTGATTACAGGTGTGAGCCACCACGCCTGGCCCTACAATTTTTTTTGAAATTTAGAGACAGGGTCTCCTCTGTCACCCAGGCTAGAGTGTAGTGCCGTGATCATAGCTTACTGCAGCCTCGAACTCCTGGGTTCAAGCAATCCTCCCACCTCAGCCTCCTGAGCAGCTAGGACTATAGGCAAGTACCAGCACACCTGGCTAATTTTTAAAGTTTTTTTGTAGAGATGGGGTGTCACTATGTTGTCCAGGTTGGTCTTGAACTCCTGGCCTCCAGTGATCCTCCCGCCCTGGCCTCCCAAAGTGCTGGGTTTATAGGTGTTAGCCACGGTGCCCAGCCAATGTAATCAGTTTTAAAGTGTTGTGATTAGTAACTACAGATGCCTGAATTCCCTTGTTTGAATGAATACAAACATGTAGTAAAGAAAATCTGGTATCTCAAAGGAACTAAGTCACCCACAGGAACTTGCATACATACTCTGAAAAAGTTATTTACCAATGTACTTTCCATCCTGACTTTCCCTCTCCTGATTTTCCCACGTATTCCTAAATTTCTGAATGGTTTCAGAAGGGCTATGGAGGTGTGCTAGCTAGGTCCAGAACTTCAGGCCTATGCATTCCAGAGTCCTCACGCCGATCTCACTTACAACCACTGTCTCCCAGCTGCGGCTGCATTCTCCATCCTGCTGGAGGGTCGACAATCTTGCTTGCTGTCTTACAGAAAATCAACCTCAGCTTTCTTTGGCCTTCCTTCCTCCACATGTCCAACATTATCCCACTCCCCAGTCCATTCTCTTCTTCCCAAAGTTCTCCAAACTGTCTTCAAGATAGTTTCCTCTCATCTTTTCAAGTACCTTAGTCCTCTTTCATTTCAGGTTTAAGCAGTGATTTTCTCCTTAATCCTTTCTTGCCTTTAAATCCTCAAGACATTAACATATATGCATCTAATCATGGCCCCTGTGTAGGGGATATTGTTTGGCCCCAGGCCTACTCCTTACCCATCCCCACCTTACTCTATGCCCTGGGAGGAGCACTGTAAGGATTATGGACAGGCCCTGCCACCCCCTGGCTTCTGGCCCAGTTTGGCTGATAAGAGGCAGGAGTAAAGTAAGACAGAGGAACTGACTCTCCTGGCTCCCACCTGTGGTT